CCTTAGAACCTAAGCCACCGTTACACATAGCTGAACGGGGGGGCGGGCAGCAGAGAAAGAACGAGTGGTGCATCAAGAACATGGAGCTGCGAGTCTGCGACAGGAAGCGGAGCCTGTTGAGCCCAACAACGTTGTGACCAACGCGACCAAAGCAATGACGACCTGCGACAGCAAGAGAGAGAAGTGGGAATCGACAAGGTCAATGGAGCGATGGAGCGACGGGGAGGTCGAGATGAGGAGGGGAATGAAGGAAGTTGGGTTTGGTGGTGGTCTTATAGATTTCTCTAAAGCAGCGGGAGGTTGAAAGTGGGTCTAGGCCTGTGGGGGCGGGCGCCTTGCCCATGCAGGCAGGCGGTCGAAAACGGCAGCCAATTTGCAGGCAACGACTTTACACCTCTATCGAATTATACAATTGCTTAGTAAAAAACAGCCACTAGGTAATATTTAGTAAACAATAACCTTTTTTTACTCACCATGTATAGCTAAGTAAAATAAGAAGGCTATACTTTGCTTTACTTGGTTACTAGACACATTAAAATCAACAAATAACCCGACTCCCTTGAAATTTTCAGTTGCGCGGAAGTTGCTTCTCAGTTTTATAGTACGAAAAAAGCATAAGTAATTACTGATTCATCTGAGGTCTAATAACTATATATAATGTATCGGGTATTTCCTTTATAATCCATAGTTGTATCACGTGTATTAGGATGCAGATGTAGCCCCGTTCTCTTACCTATTCGGATATACCCACAGGCTTACACCTTGGAGTCTTGGCTCTCGGCAAACTTGCTCCATTTTCGGATGGTTGGGCCGGAGCGATAGAAGACGTATGTGACCGGAACCAAAGCGGCGCTGATGCAGCCGAGGATTGTAAGCGTCCACTGGACGCCCATGTTGTCACACGGATTAGGTCAAACAAGAATTAGAAGCCCTTTGTTCCACAAGAAGATCACGAGAACTATGGGGCACACTAGGCACGGGCCGTTCCTTTCATGTATATAAGATGGTCCCCCCTCGCCTCATGGCTTGGGGAAACCAAGGACCTTTGACATCCTACAAGATTATCATTGAATTGAGCCCTTTTACTTCAAGCCCTCTAATGAGCCCTTGTCACACATGTTCCGATAGAATGGAATGCCAACGACTGTTATTGCACAGGCCGCGGCGTAGCGAGAAACGGTCATGAATGCCAATGCTGAGGCGGCATAGATATGATAGCAGTCGATAACGTACATGTAGGAGCTAATAAGATGCAAATCGTACCAAGCAAAAGACAACCGGGGCGATAATTGGGGACCAGACAGAAATGTAGGACTTTTACAGCTGCTTATCAGCACTGAGAATACCCGTCGTCTCGACCGCAATAGCAGAACTTACAAAGTCAGTTCAGGCTATCCAGACCAAGCTGATGGGTATCAAAGGGGCCCCCAGCATGGCGTACCACAAAACGCTCTTCGGGCTGACTATGGAACCCGTCGGTAGAGCGTCCCTCGACGTCCTCGCGCAATAGCTTCTTTGTCCAGATATAAGCTGGCGGGACGAGGAACGCGGCGGAAACAACATCGATAACTATGGCGACCCAGACGATGTTAGTCAGACCCTGGGACAGGCCGTGAACGTCCGTGTAAATGTAGGTATAGCCATCCAAGAATGTGAATAGCACGATAAATACCACAGTCATGTGTAAGGAAACTAGCAAGACAATCGGCTCATGTATTGTGATGAGAAATTAGTTTCTCATGGCCCTTCCAAAGCGGTGAACAAGAGAGATGTGGTCCGTATCCATCTCGCAACAAAATCGCCGATCGCCAATAACGGGTCTGAGATGCTTGGCTCTCCAACTCAAGCGCAATGGCGAATAGGTCTCGGGCTGAAAAAATATGATCAAGACTAAGACGGCACCGGACATGATTGTGACAACCCAGCCCGCCCACCGCCAAGAAAGTACATCTGTTTTGCCGATATAGGATGCGATCAAAGGACCCGTTGCAGGACCGCAGAAAGAAATGATTGCATAGACGGGAAAGTACATTGTCTTTTCCAACGGGTTCCACAGGTCAGCTATGGTACCGCCTGCACAAGTCAGGGGCGGGCAACCAAATACACCAGACAGGAAGCGGAAGGCGAGCTGTGCGCCAAAGTTTGGTGCCAAGGCGGAGGCCATGACGAAGATGATGAAGAGCGTCGACGAGCTCACGTAGACCAGATTCCGGCAAAGAACTTCGGAGGGAGGGCCGCTAACGAGGGAACCGGCGGCGAACCCAAGTAAATAGATTCCTGTTAATGTTAGAGCACTGCCCTTCGGAGAGTGTATTAAAAAGTATTGTCGTCTGTGATTGGACAACGTACCGGTTACAAGCGATGCGGCGACCTCAGAGACACCGAAGGCTTCAGCGTTTTGGGGTGCAACTCCAGAATAGACGGAAGACGCCGCGCCGACAACGCAGCCCAATGCCGATACGAGAAGGGTCGCAGTCAGACTTCTAGCCACGGAAAAGTTTCACGGATTCTCAACGTCTTTGTCCCCGGCCCATGTAGCAATAAAGAGAAGAGAGAATCCGACATCTCTGTCGCCTGAGCTCTGTACGTTGATACCAGGAATTGACCCCTAAAAGTTAGTTCTGACGCCTAGAGATTCGTTCGGCAGGGTACATGTATGAGACGGCGTAGCTATGGAAGGCGCCCCGGCAGCATTGACGTCACTAACTTGTTCAGTTCATGACGCTCTAAGAACAAATTGGCGTCCAATGAGAAGAGCTTACCGTCCACTCTGCCTCCTGGTGTTTTGCCTGGCCCGGTGCCGGCGGGAACGGCGGAGGTGTAGGTGGGGCGGGGCGGGGCGGGGCGGGGCGGTGTTCGCGGGTCACACAACGCCGCTTTCTCCGCGCATCCGAGGACGCCTCGTCCGTCACACCACACATGATACATCACTTCCAGCACCTACTGCCAGCCTGTCACCGCGCCGATGCCGAGGCAGCAGAGACAGAAGCGCATTCCTGTCTCCTGTGAGGCATGCGGGGGGCGAAAGATTCGCTGCACGCGAGACGGGCCGCCCTGCGGGACATGCATCCACAGGCGTGTTCCTCCGGCGCATTGTGTTTATAGCGTTGGCTCAGGTCATTCACCGCTCCAATCTGCATCAACCCATGCTGCGCCTCTACTGGAAAGTAGTCATGCCGTTGACGATAATTCCCTGGCATCTAGGGTCGAGGCACTGGAAAGGATCGTCCGCCCTCAGCCGACGCCTGGGTCGGCTGCCAGCAGTGAGCACGACGTCCCTCTCGACAGCGGGTGCAGACATCGCACCGGGGGCTTCCAGCTTCACGCAGACCTGCACAGTGCTAATTTGGCCTCGAATCAGATATTCCCCATTATCCGCGCGCCTAGGTTCTCCAAGAGGTACCATCGACTCACTTCCGATGCCGAAGGTGCTCCGGTGGAATGGCTAGCTCTTCTCTTTGCGACACTGGCAACGGCTGTTTTGGCCGTCGACATGGACGACCCTTTACTGCGTTCGCTAAGGTATTGCTCGGCTGCAATAAAGTGTGTGGACATGGATCACTATCTATGGCGTCATAACTTGACCACTCTTCAAACTCTTCTTTTGATAAATTATGGAATCCATCACAGTCGAGGGCAGACTTGGACACTGCTCGGGCTTACATACCACCTGGCACTCTCGGTTGGCTGTCACGTAGACCCAGCTGCCTTTTCCCTTGACACAGTCTCTTGTGAGGAACGCCGAAGGTCCTGGCTCGGCTTGATGATGCTTCTCTGTAACTAAAACATGTCCATGGCAGGCTTTGACATCCCCAACACGGCCAAGTCCTTCTCTATCCAGTTGCCGGCAGAAGCGTTGGACGAACGTCTCTTCCAACTATCTTTAGGAATTTGCAATCTATCTCCGGCAAAACAGCAGCTGGACCCTACGCTGCTGCGAAAACTCGACATTGCCCTTCGCCTCGAGCAAGACAGGCTGATGCAAATCCGCGAGAATGCGTCTGACACATTAGCCGTATTCAGAAACCCGCTGCTCAGTTTCTCCAACCACTTGATCATTCTCCTCCACTGCAGGATGTTGAGATCTCCTTCCTCTAGTGTTTCTGACGACGCCTGGTCGAAACAGTGTTGCTGTAACAGTGCACAACAAGTTCTCGCCTTGTATTCCGACTTCACACATTTGCCTACATTCAAGCCTCACAGGTGGTACATCCGCGGCCGGGGAGCATTTCACGCCTTCCACGCGGCTGTAGTATTGATCCTGTTGCTATCTCCAGACCGACGCAACTCACCGAGTGCAGAGATTACGCAGCCACTTGACAATTTTTGAAATGTTTGGAGCGGTTTGGGACTCAAAGTCAAATTTGCGCTCGATCCGCAAGTATTCTAAGCCACCTGCTGTAAGTTCTGCCCTGTGATTTATGGTACTCAAATTCTCCAGGCATTCAGCTCACTCGGCGCAGAACAAGGGTCGCAAGCTCGGCCTCGCTATCGCATTCGCAAGATGCCAATGTCGAAGCCAGCATGCAGGCGTCAAGCGCAGGGCCTGCGCCAATGGATGATGCGAGCTCAAGCGCGCGAATTCGCCGACAGGCCGAGAATCACAACAGAGGAGGGTCATTTGGCATGGACGGAATTGATGTCAGCAGCCTGTTGGACATTTTGCGCCTGACCAGTGGCATGATTCTGATTGGCAACAATGAGACATGTTTATGCCGTGGTCTGACACAGCGTAGCTAGTAACGTAGCTAAGAACACTCAAACGACTGCTATAAAAAATAATTATGAATTAAAAGTATATTCTCAAAAATACACGCTAGAAAGATGAACCACTTTACTAATACGTTGCTAATCTATCCTCCGGAGAGTATTATAAAGGCACTTCCTACTGCGTACCCCGAGCTTTGGATCCTTCGTCCTCGCAACAGACTGTTAAAGCCCACTGGCAAACTAACAGTGGAAAGTAGAATATTCACTGTCTTCACTTTTTTTTTCGCAAGGGGATCTATACGGTAGGCCTATTTATTACGAAAGTGGTGTAGGCTCGTAGCATCCAATGTACATGATGGCTAGCATGTCTAGTACGCTGTGGACGAATTCTGAATTTCTTCAAAGATGAAACTAAAAGCCAACAGTAATCTTGTATCCACCAGTGACCTTGGTGGTCGAAAAGTTGACCTTGCCCACACAGTCCCCGTACTCGTATGGCTTTCCAATGCTTCCGGTCCCCGCACCGGCAGTCCTGGAAGTAGGGTTAAACATGGTGACGGACGTCTTGGGAAGGTCAGAGCACTTGTGGCTGCCCGAGTTCCAGGGGTAGTACTCCACGAAGCCAACCTGGCTGCTTCTGATACCCTTCGCACTCGTAGGCAATGTCCAGCTCCCGATGTGGACGGACTTGCCCGTGGCGGTGTTGACGGCTGTTCCTTTCCACTTCGTTCCACCCGCATTCTCCACGACAATGTTGTACGTCACGCCGTAGTCGCCTTCAAAGTCTACGGCACAGCTGACGCCGGGGCCGCCATCGGCGCCGGCGTGGCAGTTGGGGTCCGAGGTCGTGGCGCCTTTTTGAAACGAGGAGAAGACGCCGTGGACAATGCTCTTGCCATTCTTGTTGGGTCGGTTCTGGATGCCGCAGTATCCCACGGAGTCGACGCCATAAAAATTAAACTGTTGGGCAAAGTAGTAGCCGGAAGTGTGAGAAGCACCAGCCATGTTGAACGGGAACGTGACGTCTTTTAGGCCTCCTGCAGGCTGTCCGGTGAAGGACCAGCTGTTGCCGACGAGAGCTGAGCCAAGCTCGGGGGCGAGGACTGCCAGTGCGGTCAAGGAGTACTTCATTATTGCTTCTTGGTGAAAGTTGGCAAGTGCAAATTATGGGATTAAGTTGTATGAGTTGCTGATTGAGTCGGAATATCGGGACCAAGCGAGTCCGGGAGCTCGCTCTTTATACATTTTGTCAAATCTAGCTTAGTGAGATTTTGGTGTTGAAATTCCTCAGCCGGCCGTCCGGCTGCATGTAAGACATGATCGGCAATTGATTGCGCGGGCCCCGACTCATTCGCTCCGGGTTGATTGGCAGCGGCCTGGAACACATTATCTCAGTTGTTTCTTTTTTCAATGTTCCCCTCTGAACAAGGCATTATGTTGCCTCATGGTGGATTTGCAAGTGTCGTCAGGAGCAAGAGGCTCTGCCCTGTTTTCTTGATGATTGCACACTTGGTACAGCTACACATGGAGGAGGTGAATTCATGGCCAGGAAGAGTGCAGTCCGGAGGGGAAAAGTTCATCATGGAATATAGTAGGCAATCCAACGACGTTAGAGAATCCGTCGATCCCTTTATTTCGAGTGTACCATTGTCACACAAACAAAGGGCCTTGACGTACATGATGTGCACCATCCCCTCATGTACAGCGTGGCAGCCATGTTCGGATCGGCGGCTTAGTCGTTCCCTAAGCCTTGGCGGGAAAAGAGCCAATTGTGAGGTCATTGGTGACGCATTGATCCGTTTTTGGGATGCAATAATGCCACCACAACGCTAGGTTGGATTGTCGGCGTTTAGAATGAGTCGAGCGATCTATTCCGCTAGCATGAAAGGGGATAAAGGTGCAACCCTGGTTGACGAATTCGCAAAACCATTAGTAATAACTTTTCTCGAGCTGCAAACCAGCAGACACGTCGGTCGACGGTCTATTCTACAGTAAGCCCCAACGGTGGCTGCTTGATGTCTTATCACAGCTGACGACATTTTTCACTAGAGGTCACAGGTGGTTACTTTGACTAACAGTACGGAGTACTCCGTACTCATAACTTAAATACATATCAGCGCCATTGAAGAAAAGCGACGTCTCGGTCTTAAAGTGGAGATTCGTTTCCTGATTCGTTTCCATTGCAGTTAGAGAAGCTCATCGTCAAAGTACATTCACACGACACCTAATTGTTTCGTTGCACTCTCCCAAATCTGATTGGCAGCCCCCAGCTTTGAGCCCCGAATACTGTCCAATGGTTTTAATAAGATTACTGAAGAGATGACAGCAAAAGCTGGCCTATTGGGCCGCGCATCATGCAGTTCCATCACACACGGGCTGTTGAGACTCTGTGGCTGAGCTGAAAGGCTCTGACACGACTGCGTTCGCTTCTGGCTTCACGCGTAATTTCAGCAGTGTCCGCAGGTTTCAGACGATTAGACAATCAACACTCGACACTTTCCATTGACGCTGGGTAGATTACGTGGGCATCATACCATCAAATATGACTGTCACGCTGAAGATAAACCTGCAAAGACGACTAAGCTTTTGTGAACCGGTTGGTCTCACGTAGACTTTTATGCCGCCCGTTTCGCCCATGCAGCCGAAAGCGTAGGAAATACAACCCTGAAATGTGATGTGCTCAGAGTAATGACAATGCATAACCACACAAGCTCACTGACCCGCCACGGGCGGCGAGCCGTGTAGTAGACCGCGTGATGACGTGGTAAAGAGCCCTGACATTACGGAGTAGTGTAACCAGATACTCCGTAAATAGGGGTTGATTGCCGCACCGTACTCCGCAAAGTGTCTTAGCTACACCATGTTTTTGTACGAGAACAAGGAACTTGCCTCCTCGCCCGCCCTCGACAGGAGGCGGGAGTCAAAGCAGGGCTGCCAAAAGCGCAGAGCCAACGGACATGCTGTGTCAACGTAACTCGGCGAGTATTTATTCCCTACAAGTGACAACGATATCTTCTCTGGCACATGCTGTCCTGCAGCGACTTGGTTCAGTTCTCACGCGCACCAGATATTTGTCCAAGAGATCACCATGCGTGTAGTAGAGAACACCGGACACAAAGGCAGAGTGCCCGATGTTGTCTGCTAACCTCCTCGCCAACATGGTGAAGTGCGGCTCTGATGATTAGAATGGACACATGAATTTGGGCATTGAATATCAGGCAGCCGACAGGTCATTCCTTATGATCTACGTACTCTGTAGCTATATGTTTTCTCCATGCGACGTGACGGCTTTGAAGCGATGCCGCTTTGCCCTCTCCACCTCTCATGTGCTGCTGCCATGTGCAACTGTCGACAGGCTGGGGAGTATTCACCTCTAATCCCCGCAACGAGCGACAATGGCGTAATATTGAAGAAGAAATAGTATGCTCTTAATCCCTCATGTAACTAATACCTCCTGTTTGGGTGTATAAGCTCCGGCTTTCTCACAGTCGGCTAGTACTTTACGGTTTGGAGGGTGCGGTGCGGCTCAGGAAGTTGTTCGTCAAGGCATGGAATACGATATTCCCTTGAAGCCAAAGCCGAGAAAAAAAAAAAAAAAAAGCTATGTAGAAGGACCTTTTCCCAGAATAAAGTCGGCACTATTGGTTTAAGATACAGAAGGCTCTTCATCTTGAAGGCAGGTGATTCAACTTCTACTAGCACAGTCGCGCTTGTCACAAATATACACTTGGCGCGGAGTACTTGGTGATTACACAATAGGGAATAGATGGCATTTTGGCCTAGGCCTCCATGTGGAAGCACAATTCAACTGGTCAATGATGTTCCTCCTAACTGCTCTGCTCAGCCCCCAGGTTTTCGCCAAGGCACTATCAGCATGCGGTTACGGGTCCAATAGGTCACCCTCATCAGCCTCCAGAAAAACTTTGACCCTGACCCAGTTGGGACGTAATTGTTGGTGACGTTGTGACAAGGGCTTTTTATAAAGGGCTTGGAGCAATATTCAATACCCAATAATTCGCTTCAATATCAAAGGTTCTTGGTTCTTTCAAGGCCTCTGGGAGCAGATGCCCCTTATAAACACAAAGCAGCGGCGAGCAAGCGAGCCTGGAGGCCCAAGTCCCCGGCTAGGTCTCGAGCCCTTGTGTAACTATCGTCAGGTTCAAGGGTCGGCCCGTGCCTTCCATACATCGTGACCTCCGTGTAACAGACGTGGAGCTAGCAGGCGGAAAGTCACAAAGAAAGACGACCAACCTTCTGCCTGCCGTGCTGCGACTTTTGTCCCATCTCAGGAACACGATGCAACACCTGAAATTGACCCAAAAAACGCCTACTTTTTACATCTTGCTATTCAATTATTCTTCTTTCTTGACCACATAGTTCTTCATAAGCTACAGACTGAAACATGATGCCTGTTCTCTTTAGGAAGTCTCACAATTCGGAGACATCGACACCAAGTCAGACAGTTTCCGCTAATGCTGCAGGATCCGTAACATTGCCATCATTGTCGACGGTGCCACAACAAGATTCTGTATTAAAACACGTTATAAGTGTGACAAGGGCTTGATATCAAGGGCTTGGAGTGAAATGACTCTATAATAAGACTAAGAATATCTTTGTAGAGTTTGATCCCTTATACATTCTTCTAGTATCTTACTCTACTAACCAGTATAAATCAATCTAGCATCTTATTTATATGTAGGTACGCGGCTATTTTAAGGGTATATAGAGACTAAATAATACCTCTTCGTATCCTTAAAATCTACCACCAAAGAAAATACTTAATACTAAAATATTTATTTTTAGATATAATTAACGTATTATAACTTAGAATATAGTATAAAAATTTAATAAGTAATAGATAATGCGCTTAAGCAGGTGTACCCAAAAGCAACGGCGTCATGTACCTGAATTAACGTCTAGTTACCAAATAAAAATCCCGCGGAAAACACGGGCACACGAAAGCCAGGGTTAGGGTCGGCGTAAAACATCCCGGTGTCAGGCTCGAGGAGTTGACAGAGGAGAATGTCTCGGCACATAAGCGCACATCCTCTGCCGATAGCGAGCTCGGAGAACAATTGACAACATGGAATTATTAATAGCCCTGCCTGCTCTGCTGGCAAGAGGGAGGCGGGCGTAGACGAGTTCGCAATGTTGACGCCTCCTCCCCCGCATCATCTTTCCTACACCACCTTGCGCACATCTTCACCATGAGTCTCCTCGGGAAAACATTCATCGTGACGGGGGGCGCTTCCGGGATTGGCAAAAGCACAGTCAGGAAGCTGCTGGAGCTCTCGGCGCAGGTGCACGTCGTCGACATTGCAAGCGACATCCCGGCACACGGAGGGCTCGCCGGGCAGCAGAGGAACCACGCAAACGTCGACGTCGCCTCGCGGGAACACGTCCGGGGCGTGTTTGACAAGGTCGCGGCGCAAAAGGACGTGCAGCTCGGCGGGCTGGTGCACTGCGCCGGCATCATGCGTCCGACCGAGGCCTCGGAGGCGGGCGACGAGTACCTGCGCCATCTCTGGGACGTCAATGTGCTTGGGACGTGGAATGTCAACACCGAGATGTACCGGCTTGTCAAGGCGTCGCGAGAGTCCGGTGCGGGCGCTGGCGTCGACGCCCTTGCCAGCATCGTCAACATAGGCTCCATGGCGTCCGTTAGGGGCATTGCCGACGCGCCGGGGTATGTCGCTACGAAGCACGCGGTTCTTGGGCTCACCCGCTCCTTTGCTCAGTCTTGGGCGTCGGCCGGGCTCAGGGTCAATTGTGTCGCGCCGGGTGCTGTCAACACCCCCATGATTCAGGGCATGGTGCTCGAGGATGTTGCGCCGGCATACAGGGGAGCACTGAGGTCGCTGGTGGAGCCGGATGAGATCGCGGACACAATCATGTTTCTCTTGGGCAAGGGCTCGTCGGCCATAACAGGGCAAGTGGTCGAGGTGAATGGCGGCTGGCCTTAGGTAAAGCTGAGCTACGTTGTTGCATGGGTTGAGTGAGTTGCGATGTGGCCTGTCCAGCCTTGCTCATCATGGATTGTGGGAATTACAAGTCCGCTGTATTTTTATCTCAAAAGTTATATATAGTGTATGCAGTTCTAGTCATCTACCAAGCCGTGCGATGAGCAAAAGACAAGCGGTGCCGGCTCAGGGGCGCGATTCGTCATCGTACCGCGCATAGTAGTAATTGTTCGCCAGCGAGGCGTTGCCTGCGTTAGAAAGGCTCTGAAACGGAATCCTCTCGAAGCTCCCACGCGCCACCGAGTTGCGAATGCCAGCATCTCTCTGAGACAAGTTGAGTATAATGACGCCTATAAAGGTGACCAGCAAGCCGAGCAGTAGAGACAAGTTTGTTACGACATTCTTGATGCTCAAGCCGCCGTACAGGATAAGAGAAGCCGATAGTGTAGCCGTCGTAAACGTCACATAGTACAAGGGGTTGACTCTGAAATAAATTTTTAGTTTCTCACGTCAGTGCTTTACAAGAGAAATGGGTGGAGGGCGGTACATACATGTTAGCCGGGAAGGATGCCAGCGCCTTGTTGAAGTAGTTCATCTGGACGACAATACACCCCGCCGAGAGAAGCAGGAAGGCATACGTAGACGGGTGGGTGAACTGGTTATTGCCGGAAAAAGTGAGCTTCAAAGCCATGCCCAGCGCCTTGATGCCCATGATGGAGATTGAGCCCACGAGCGAGCATACGGAGAGGTAGACCAAGGCGTGCTTCTTGCCGTACACGGGCGCAACTTTGTATATCAAAAAGACAACGGCTCCAAGTACGGCAAACGCATATAGCAAGAAGCCTGGGAGGGAAAAAAAGGCCGCATTAGCCAAAGCAAACAAGTAGGCATGTCTGAGCGGCGACATACCAGGCTGCAAAGCATAGTCGAGAATCTGATCTATCGTCTCAACCGGCTGTTCAGGAGGGGCGTGAATGATGACCAGCACGGCGCCAAGGAGGCAGACGGCAATGCCGGATCGACCAACCGGTCCAAGCTGTTCATTCAGCAGAAACGAGCCCATGACAGCGCCGAAGATGACGCTCAGGGCTCCCAGCGGCGTTACAAGAATAGCGGGCGCAAAGGCATATGCGGCAAAGTTGCAGATCTCGCCGAGGACCACTAAACAAATACACAATCGGTGAGATTGGGTCAAACCTAGGGTCTGCGGGTGTGATACGAACAGGAGCAGATGCCCAGCCACCACAGCGGGTTTTTCAGGTACTCAAAGCCGTCGCCATTGAATCCCTGGTTTTTGCGTGCATCAATCAAGCCCTGATTGTCAAGGTCAGCTGAATTTCTTGTCATGACTCTGCTTGGGTCACAGGACGCAGACAAAAACCTTTCTCGTGATGACGAAGCTTGTCCCTATAAGTAACTGATCAGTGAGATTTTCGCATAGGCAGGGTCAGTGTTGGCATGTACCAATGGCAGCAGCCGAAAAGGTCGCCAGGATCAGGCAGATATAGCTTCACAAACGCATCATCAGTTGGGAACAGAGCTGAGCGGAGAGGGCGAAGCGTACACATCCTTATTCATAGTCGCAGCAACGGCGATTCCTGCTCGTCAAAGACAGGCGAGCCACATGAAACGATTAATCCGGCGCCTAGCTGAGCATGACAAGGACGCAGACAAATCGGGGCCTTTTCTGAGCTCAACACCTTGTGCGGACCGACGTTGAAAACGGCTGCCACGCGTCCTTGGTGGTGAAAATCGGTTTTGAGAGAGGCTGCATCTTCCCCTGTGTGAACTCGACCGTTTTGGCGGACGGTAGGCGTATTTCGCTAATGTCTTGGTAATTTCGGGTAGCTGTGAAAATGTGCTGCAGGATCCGTTTCCAAAAAAGGGGGGGGGGATTGGGCGGGCAAATAAGCGCATGGCTACCCGGGACTCGGAGCTTTGCTGGGGGCTCGGGTATATGTCATAAATCCAGAACATCTGCATCAGCATTGTGGCGACTAGCAACATTGTTATAGACCATATCGGCTTGCAGCCGGGTCTCGCTCCATTGGCAGCCAACGATAATACAACGAGACGCAGCTTCAGGTCCAAGTTCAGGCAGTGGGAATACTCAACCACCAGAGAGAACCTGGTCAATTGCGCTGGCCAGCGAGGCGTTTTGTGGCTTCAGTCCTGGGTGCAGCATGGTGCTGTTTTCATCATTCACCACTCACCAATACTTGCAATAATATTGCGACGCCACGAATAACATAGACCCTGAATACCGAGCAGACAACCCACGAAATTCCCAACGATCCACCCGTGTCTCGGCTCAGCCTCACGTCCACGCCAAGACGCCATGACAAAGTGCCGGTCCACGTCACGACCCCATATCTTCCTTCGCCTTGGCTTCCCAAGAAAAAAAAATAAAGAGAAAATTCTCCCAACGGCTATCAGTCTCTTCATCTACATCCACAAAAGTTGAATTTCAGAAAAATTCAATCAAAGAACAACCGACCTCGTGTCGCGTTGCGCACCATTCGCCTCCACGTCGAGCGGCAGCCGGTTTCACCTAGGCAGGCCAAGCCATGGCCTTCAAAGCCGTCTTCTCGTTTGGCACCGAGCCCTTCGATCCTACGAACCGCTTCGAAACATCGTGGCTGCTGCCGCCCTGGATGCTTCTCGCCTGCCGGGCCCTGATTGTTCGTCCTCCCTCTCCCCCGCGCTCTGCCACAACACTAACCCCCAGCCAGAGCATCTACATCTTCACGACGCTCTTCTTCATCATAGGCTACACGTGCGCCAACGCCTCGCTGGGCGGCTGTCTCACCGTGCGCCGGTCCTTCTCCTACTTCACCGTCATCACCTACTGGGGTCTGGGCTTTTACTTTGCCGCGGCGTCCGTCCACACGCTCACGTACCTGGCGCGCCGGCGGCCGCTGCTCGCCTCGTTCCCGCGGCCCCTGCAGGCCCTCCACTCGCTCTTCTACACGTCCATTGTCACGCTTCCCTTCCTCGTCACAGTCGTCTACTGGGCCGTGCTGTACAAGGCGCCCTGGTTCGAGCTGGCCTTTGATGGGTGGCACAATGTGTCGCAGCACGCCCTCAACTCGCTGTTCGCGCTGTTCGAGGTCCTTGTTGCGAGGACCGAGACCATGCCGTGGGTTCATTTGCTGTGGCTGATTGTCATATTGCTGGGCTATCTGGCGGTTGCGTTTATCACGCTCGCCACCCAGGGCTGGTACACGTATAGCTTTTTGGATCATGACAAGGTTGGCGGGCGGGGCTATGTCGCTGCGTATGTGTTTGGCATTGCCCTGGGCATTGTCGTCATCTTTGCCGTGGTGTGGGCTGTCATTTGGCTGAGGAAGTGGGTGACGGAGGGTAAGATGGGTTGGACGGGCAAGTTTGTTGTCGAGAGGAGGGTGGATGTGGAAATGAGTCACGTCAAAGGGGGCGAGTGACGGCCCAGGATATGTCAGAGTATACCACAGATTTGATTGTGAGTTCCGCGTGCCATGTGGTGATGCAGGGTGAAAAAAAAGAAGAAGCCTGTTTAAGAGGCTGCCATTATATGTCGACGAATACGTGAGCGAGGAATTTCCCAAGGGACCGTTTTCACATTGGTTGACAGTGTCATCATAAATACTTGTATTTTTTCTTTTTTATGATACAGCCACATAGTTCCATCTCTCAGCACTTCAACGTCGCTCCCTTGCGCTTCTCCGATTCGCGAATCTCAAACATGACCTGGATGCCCACAAATAAGCAGGCACAAGCCACCGTCAGAAAGATGACGCCTACCATACTGTCAATAAGCAATTCCAAACAAAGCGTCTCGGAAGAACGCAAGGCAACTTACCCGACCATTCATGCAATATGCCCGCCACAATGCTCTGCAACCCATCCAAGCCTACCGCGAAACCAACCAGATTGGCCGCCATCATCATGAGCACGTTCGCAACCGCACCGACACAACACAGCATGCGATACTCGGTAGGACGACTCTCCCACTTCCTCTTTGGAAACAAAAACGCCGCTGTCCATTCGGGCACCATGAACAAAACAATCAGCCAGCCCCAGATGAGGAGGCGAAGCTGAATGTCATGCCACAGCGCCACAAAGGTGAACACACACAAGTACGTAACTGTTGACTGGGCCGCAGCGGCCCAGTTGCGGAAGGATGCACCCCCAAGAGGCACGTACAAGTATCGAATGAGCCATCGGTTGTATGACCGGTGCCATGCGCGCCAAAAGAGTTGCGTGCTATAGTTGTTGCTCACGCAACGAACCATGTTCTCCGGCGGGTCAATGCCATCTATCAACGCCCACAGGCGGAACAGTCGCCATGGCAGAAGGAGCTTCAACCAGATAATGTGGAGGTTGAAGAACGAAAGCAAGCTGAGTTGAGCGGCGGAATAGTCCCCCCAAACGGGGTTGGCCAGGCTGATTGCGCCGACGTAGTCAAAGTGCAAGATGAGCTCCATGGCAAGTAGAACCAGCAAGAACCGAACGCCATAGCGGATAGTACGCGGTTTCTCGATACTAGCTGGCCTGAACTTGAGCTGGGAGATGTAATCGTTGAAGGTGAGAATAGGTCCCGCCAGATAGAGGGGTGCGTATATGGCGTATGCGATGTAATTGCGAAAGGAATAGTCGGCCGGCTCGGCGGATATCGTGATTCGATCTCGCTCAGACAGGTTGGCCGGGTCCAATTGTTTCTTCTTGTGTGCATTAGCGGCATTGCGGATGAGAAATAGTCGACAAGACGGGGTGGATGTGCACTTACCTCCAAGGAATTGGAAGCCTTCTTATCGATGCTCCAGTAATAATCCATGTTGTAGCTGATCAATCGCAGAATCGTGATGTTGAACAAAACCTCCCACCGTGGCATGATGCCTCCAAACCCATCCAACCACGCACCTGTCTGCATCAAGGGAGAATCCGTCAGTTGCCCGGTAGAAGCAGCTTTGACCGGTGGCGAGATGTGACTGGCTACGTTTCGTAGGTGGTAGCCCTCACAGAGCTCATTCGCAAACAGAGTGGAGATGTTAAACACCCAGGTGGCAATAGGCACATATCTGCGCGGAAGCTTCCGTCCAATCTGAAAGTTAATGTACAGAATAATGAGGACCTTGAATGCCGAAATGCCATGCAAGATAACCAAGAACAAAAGCGCAAACGTGAAGTCGAACAAGGCCCGCTGCTCCAGTCGTGACGAACCATTGAGACTCCCATTGCCGTTGGCGCCGGTGTATACTGATTCCCAACACTTTCGGAGCAGAGGATGAAATATTAGCAGCGCTGCCAGGTAGGGCAAGTTGCCTCGAAACGTGTGATACTGAGCATCAGAAATGTCGACTTTGCGGCCGGGAATCCAGCCATCGGAGAGAAATCGCTCGTACTTGTGATATCGCGGATCGGAGGCTATCCCAGCACCCAGTTAGCGCCTTGTGTCGACTCAAAAGAAAGGGGGGAAAGAGCAACAAACAAATCACATACGCCGTGAAACACTATACGCAACCCAAAACATATACGGCACCGCCCACAAAAACACCAAATAATACAGATAAAACTCTGGCGTTTGCCATTTCGGTGGAGGTGCACGAGCTCGCGCTTTATCGGCAGCCTCTTTCACGGCATCGGGATCGCTGCGCGCCTCAATGACAGTCTGGTAGGGAACAGACGACGGGCTCATAAACCGAGTATCGAGGGTATCGATGTCGTACACCTTGCGGAAGAAAGAGACGACGCCCATGGTGGGCAGACGTCTGCGCCTTTTGTTCTGTAGGCGTGGCTCAAGGATGAAAGGGACGGCAGCAGGGTCAGCTCATTTTCGACAGACAATGTCCGCGCAAGAATTCAATTGATGGTTCAAACGGGGACCGTGGACGTGCAGCGTTGAGGATGCAAACGAGTGACTGGTTAAAGGGATTGGTAATGGCGGCGTTCCGGCTGAAAGGATGTGCGACGTGTCTCGTCAGCTATAGATGGCAAGCATGCAGAGATGGATGGTGGATGAAGGACGTGGCATTTGACGCCTCGTCGCGAGCGCGAACGTGGGGTCTCGGGATCTACAACCACTCAAGGGGCTGGGGCCGGAGATGTCAACTTCGACCCTGACTGCACATGGTATTTGTGGGCTCCAGGGCTTGTGGAGTCTGGTTGAACCCGCATTGAACATTGAATTGACCGTTTAACCCCTGAGACCTCAGATGTTGAGGCTGGCAGTTTCCAGCGCTTAGTCAGCTTTCACTGTGTCGTGTCGCGAGGACTTGACTCTAATATACGCACTTTAAAACTACTTTATTCATCAGAAATGGCTAGATGGAAGTTTGGACCTCGTACATATCTCTTCAATACCGTAG